GCCTGAGTTTGGAGGTTGTTCAGGCCATTTGTAGTAGGTGTCATTTTTCGAGATGAGAGGGCCCTCGGTAAGAAATTATTAATTAAAATATAACAAGAAACAATTTGACATTTAAGACATGCGCAATTAGCTATATTTGGGAAGAGTTGTAATGAAGCAGTGGCTGGCTGTAAGAAATCAAAAGGCGCATGCTTATAGCCACTGAATCACTACAATGCATCTTAGAACATAGCGTCGGATCATTACAAGCTTTTCTGTGCATTCACTGTTTATTTAATCGGTGGCATATATTCATTCGTTTAACCACATTCATATATTCGGTCCTTTCATTTCTCTATAAAACTTCTCGTCTTACAAGGAACTCAAAGTTCGATCTCGCATGTCTAAGAGCGATCCGATGACAGACAAACGCGCAGACGATTTGAATAATTGTGAACGCATATGACTCAAAGATAAAGCTTACTCGACCGCAAGCGCGGCAATGATGGCGTCGTTTGATGACGGTGAACTTCGCTTCGCAGAGCATACAGACGTTTGAATCGCGATCTAGTATCCACACTGGTGCAACTTTGCCGAGCATCATTTCCGATTCGGTCAGCCTAGAACAATAACAACGGTAGAATGAAAGGCAGCCAAAAAAACAAGTCAAGCAGCGCATGCTTCAAGCTTGGTACTGGTTCGTCGTTGAGCACCGTCACAAGCGCGTCATCGTGCACTTCCTTTTCCGCTGCGACAGGAGGGGGCGCCGACGTCATTGCCAGGCCGCCATCGCTTTGGTTGAAATCAGTGACGCGCGATGCTGTTGTCAATTTCGGTTCATTGTCGACTGAGGTTATGAGGCCCTGACACAGCACTTCCGAATAGCCGTCGCTCCTGTCCGGCGCTACCTCGTTAGCGCGAAGCTGCCGCTCAGATTTCGTGGTCGTGTATACTTCAGAGGGGCACTTGTTTATCGAAGGACGTTTCTTTAGCAACGTACATTCGCATCCTATACGAAACAAAGGCATGGCTACAGATTCGAAAGGATAAGGAGAT